GAATATGTAGATTGAAATACATTTCATTCTCTTCATATTAAGATTCGGATTATCCGGATATCAGGATAGTTCGATTATTTACGTTATTCCACTATCCGAATTATCCGGATTATCCGGATAATTCAAATATCCGCATTTCAATTGTCGGATAATAATTATATCGGATAATCCGGATAATAAATTTTCGTATTCGGCAAGTATTAACGCTTCACATGAACATCACCTATGTGCGCAATCATAGTTACCAGGAGATGCACAATGACACATCTATTTTTCTTGACAGATATTCTTATTTTATACACTTTTTATATGCACGGTACTTTCTATTTACTTAAAATTCTTTATATTTATGTTTACTTTTTCCATTTTATATTTCATATTCATTTATATTCATTATATTCATTTTACTTCCCGTTATTTCAATACACTTCGGTAAAATACACGTTGCTTTTTACCACTCAATATCGGCGATCTTTTCTTTGTTGCATTAACAATGACACTGGACTTGGTTTTTCTGAACGTAAGACGGAAAGTTGGGGGTTACGAAGGAATGAGAGAGAGAGAGAGAGAGATAATTTTACATTGACACATTTATTAATCTGCTTATGTACGATTCTTTTATCGACCTTCTCTGGTCTAGATCCGGCGTGTTTTGCAAGGAACAGTGACACCTCGAGTAGGATGTGGTTATTCACCACGCACACTGATGTTGAGTAGGCAGAAGCTTTGGTCCATTTGGCTCTATATTTCCGCTATACCTACTCCTGGTGAAACATCACCTTATCACCTCCTGCGCGAAGCGCAGAATTGTCTTACATATTTTTCACTCTGCCGAGGTTGTACATTATTCATTATGTGGATCACACAGTACAATTTCTCATAAGCGAGTGTGCGAAAAGTGCAGGAAATATCTTTTCATTGTTGAGTGCGTAAAGCGTTGAATACATTTCATCATTACTAACTGCGCCATGCGCTGACTGTTTTGCCACGTTTGCACTGCGCGGAACACAGGACACATTTGTAGAATATAGACTGCGCGGAGCGCAGACTTTACTTTCTTATTATTGACTGCACGGAGCGCAGATTTTCTTTTGTTATTACTGACTGCGCGAAGCGCAGAATTTTTTTACTCTTTTCATGGATTGCACGGAGGGCAGCATATACTGTTGGTTTTCATGCGCACAGCGCATATTTGTATATAACATAATTGTTTTTTTCTTAGACTCTATTCTTATATTTATTTGCTTCTTGTAACTTTCGTCATACACTCTTTACTTTGTGCTTTTCATTTCATTGCAATTTCTCATTTTCTTATTTGTACTTGTCTTCTCACTGCATTCAGTTTTACATTTCTTGGCTTGTAATATATAATCTGGGTCGCGAATGGGCATATTTCTTTCTCGTCTCGGATCAATTATCTCCGGTAATACACATTCTTCATAAAACCGTACTAACTTGTTTTCCATATTTTCATTCCAAAATGTATCATCACGAACTATCTTTTCCATTTTCAGTCCTAATGGTGTCCAAAGTGCAAAAATGCAATAGTCCCGTTGTGTTATATGCAATTGTCCTTGCACTTGATAATAATACATATGATTGCGTTTAATTTCCTCATCTTTTTCATTTTTATATAATGCTTGCAAATTGGATACATTTTTTGCAATTGCATCTTCCGGTGTTAAAAACCGTGCTGCAAATGGACATTTTATTTTTACAATACCGTTATGTT